CAGTATTTATTCCCTGAAACTCTCCCTGCCCCTTCCCTCCATTTTACCAGGCCATTTCCACCTGGGCCTTGCTCCCATGGGTATCCACAGATCCTCCCAGACCCCAGGACACTCTCCCTGTGTCCATTCCTGTAGTTAGACTCCACCGTTGCGTCAGGGTCTGGCGCTATCACCTTCTCCCTGAAGCCTCCCCCACTCCCCAGCCCACTGACTGTTCTCTTCTCTGCCCCAGCTGGTACCCCACTCCTCAGTGCGCTTCATCCTTGCAGGTTGTCTCACCTCTGAGTTCCTTTCTCCCCAGTTAGACAGTAGGTTCATTCTATTCATTCAGAATTAATCTGTTTGGTACTGTGTTAAAAGCACCTGCCTAGAGCCCCACTGACTGAATCCTACCTCTACCATTTATTAGCTGCTGTGTGGCCCTGAACAGATTATTTAACCTCTCTGGGTCTCAGTTTCTTAATTTAAAATGTGGAAGTCATAATAATAGCCCCTACTTCACAGGGTTGTTGGAGCATTATGCAATTTAATAATTTACAGTGCTTGGATCAATGCCTGGCACAGAGTAAGCACTATATACTGTTTGCCATTATTATTATTAAGAACCTACTGTGTGCCAGATACTCTGGAGCACCAGGAATGTACAAAGACAAGTCCAGGAGATGGCTGTCTAATGGGAGAGGCAGACAAGTAAAGCAATAATTGCAATACAGTGTAACTAATGGAGCAGTTATGGCCATACAAAAGGGAGCAGTAACTCAGCCTGGACTGTAGGCAGAGTAGGCAGGGGAGGCTTTCCAGAGGCAGTGGCCCGAGAGCCAAGACAACCATTCAAGGATGTATAGGCAGCGGTTTATATGCAGGGGCCCTGGTGTGGGGAGTATAGGGATAGATACTAAAGTCCTGGTGGAGGAGAGCGGTTGCTTTCAAGGCGCTTGGACTTCCTCCCATTGCAGTGGGGGAAGCCTCTGGAGGTTTTAAGCGAGAGAGTGAATTGCATCCTGGAAGGAACACTCTGCTGGACTGTGGTGGGCAGACTGGAGCAGGGAGAGTGAAGAAGGCCAACCTGTGTCTCACTGGGCAGCCTCTCGGCAGCCTGGCTCACAGCCAGACTCATGGTCTCTCCAGGGTCCTTGGGCCTGGCCCTGGCGGAACAGATGCCCGTGGCACCCATACACCCTCAATTCTGGGAAAGGCCAGATTTCAAGCTTACACCCTATAATGACCCGTAGCTCTACCCTGACTCCTTCCTGCTGCAATTCCAGCCCATGGACTCTAATTCCAGCTCTTCCCACTCATCTCTGTTCTCAACCTTGAAACGGGCCCACTCTTGCCAAACCCTCAGCTCCCAACCCCAGCTCACCCTGACCAGAGCCAGCCCATCCCTTCTCCCCTCGGCCCCTCCCCACCCTGGCCTCTGCAGACTCCCAGTTGCTGGGCTGGGACTTGCCCCGTCTCATTTTCCCATCAATGACTCATGTATCGGGCGGGGGCTGCCAGGGCCGGGGAAGAGACGGTGGCAGCAGCCCCTCCCTGGCCTCACAGTGTCCTCAGAGCCAACTGAGCAAAGTTTTTCCATCTCATGCCTGTCTGCTAGCACCGTCAGGGCCTGTTTGTGCCCCTGAAGAGGCCTTGACCCTACTCTGTGGCCACGCCAAGCAGGCCTAGGGTGAGGGCCTAGGCTCTGTCTTTAGAATTTGGAGTCACCAGAGCACTAAAGACAGCCCTGAACCCAGGAAGCAGGGTCCCATGACCCCAGCGGAGAGGGCCTAGTGGGACAGCTACCCATGGCACCACACATTCCCCAATTCTGGGACAGGCCAGATTCTAAGATTATACCCCATAATGCCCTATTGCTCTATCCTCACTCCTTTCTGCTGCAAATCCCGTGCTGGGGGCTCTGGGAGCCCTCAGGAAGCTGTGGGGCTCTTACAAATGGCAGTAAATGATCATACCCATCTCAACAACAAAGGAGCCCTGGTGGTGCCCTCGCTGCTAACCAAAAGGTTGGTGTTCAAACCCACCCAGCAGCTCTGTGGGAAAAAAGACCTGGCGATCTGCTCCCGTAAGGATTACAGCCTAGGCGACCCTATGGGGCAGTTCTACTCTGTCACATGACTGCTGTGAGTTGGAATAGATTCGAAGGGCCCTAACATCTCAACAACCACCACCTGGATGAGGGCCCACTCTGTGCTAGGGGCTATGCTAGGAGGGGCTGTAATCTCCTAGCAAAGAGAGAACCAAAGCATTCTTGGAAGCACCAGGACGGGCTGTTTAGAAGCAGTGAGCGCCAGAAACCAGAGCCAGCCTCCTCCTCCACCCGGCGCCTGCCGCCACCCTTGACGCTTGATTCTGGCTTTGTCTGCCCCCGCCAAACAACTGCCCTTTGCGGCTAAGCCTCGGAATGATCCGTCCAAGCACAGTGCTGGGCAAGGGAAGTAGTGTCTATGTTCCCTGACTCCTCATGGTCCAGCTCAGTCGGCACCACTTGGCACTTATTTAGCTCCCCACTGGACTCTGGGCTCCTCAAGGACAGGAATCATGTCTTTCATCTCCATATCCCCAGTGCTGAGGAGTGTCTGGCCCATACGAGGCATTTAGTAGATGTTTGCTGAAAAAGTGAACCACATCTACTAACACTCCCCCATTTCTGGGTGCCTGGATAGCTCGCTTCTTTCCTTATGACTGAATCCCCACCATCAGTCACCTTTGGATTTGATTACAAGAGCAAGGATTCTATTTTGAGGTTGCTGTTTTATAGGAGCCATGGGGAAGCTAACCCTTCCCATCAACCTATCAGCTTGAACAGAGGAGTGGCAAATACTACCTTCTCTCCACCACCCACCCCGTATAAATGCTATTATTCTTCCCCATCTTTCTCTCAAAGCCCAAAGCAAACATCACCATTTGATCACAGCCGAAGTTGAGCCCAGATCTTTCTCAGCACTGCTCAGAATTGGCATGGAAGAGATTTATATGCTTTGCTGGGATTAAGCTATCCATAGGACAGCTGTACAGCCTAATGAGATAATAAATGAGCAATTTGTAAAAAGCCCCTTGTAAACTGCAAATTCCTATTCAGTTGTGAGATGTGGTTCACATATCAGACGAGCTAGATGCTCCTTTGGAAGCAAAGGACTCCAAGGGACTGAGACATAGGACAGAGAGGTTTTGATTGGAAAGGAGGATAAATCTGGTGGAGAACAAAACAGGTTAGAATCACAAAGGTTATTAATGAGACTTCACATTTTTGAAGAGGCCCACTCAGCCTCCTTGCTCTTTCCAGTGAGAGTCTGAAGTAGGCCGTTGCTTTGCCGCAGAGAAGGTCAGATGTGGGTGGATGGTGGAGGAAAGGCAGAGTGAACTGCTGACCACAACACAGAAAGGTCTCAGGGGTCACCTGATTAGCAGTTTGTGTATAACTCAAGGCAGCTATTTCTCTGTGCCTCAGTTTCCTCCATGCTGAAATCATTCCCTTTAAACCATTCAGTAAGGAAAACTTACTGTATAAGCATATAAAGCCTGAGAGTACAAATGGTAGACAGTTCCTGGATGGTATAAAAGGTTAAGGTACTCAGCTGCTAACTGAAAGGTTGGAGGTTTGAGTCCACCCAGAGGCACCTCGGAAGAAAGTCCTGGTGATCTAATTCCAAAACGTCAGTCATTGAAAACCTTGTGGAGTACAGTTCTACTCTGACACACATGGGGTCGCCATGAGTCGAAATCGACTCGATGGCAACTGGTTTTTATAAATGGTAGAGGACAAGCTCTGCTCAGAAAGCTGAACCACCTCCCAGGCTGGCAGGGACAGGACATCCTTCTGTGGAGAGGCACCTCTAGGGACTGAGCTGGTCATTGTGACATCCCTCAGTCCAGACCCTTTCGTCCCTCTTCCTAAGGCCACTGAGGCCATTCCTACTGGGGTTGCTGCATCTCCCCAACCCAGGCTGGAGATTTCAGAGTGGGCTGTGGATTGGGAAACCATGGAGACAGGGCCAGGAGAGAGAGGCTCCAAGCGCTGAGTCTTTGTGGGCAAAGAATTTCACTCGGCAAACAGTGTGATCACTGCCCTTTGCAGGGCATCTTACTGTTGGGACAGGCATGAAATGGTAAAGGCCAAACCCACCCCGCCCCAGGCCCAGCAGCACAGTCGGGGAAATATGGGCAGGAGGTGGGGGAAGAAGTGTGCAAAGAGAGGGCATGGATGGATGGGGGTCCCAAAAGGACCTAAGCAGCAGGAGACCCCCAGGTGCGGGCCTCAGGCCTGTCAGCTCCCACTCCAGAGATAAGTCCTGAAGTGTTCCCAGTGCGGCCCCTCCTCCAGGTACCAGGCTGGCCTCCTGAGTCCTGAGGCACTAGCTTAGTGCCCATGGAGCACTGCCCTCCTCCAGGCAGGTCACAAAGCCTAGGGGCTAACAGCAGTCTGTAGGGCCACCAGGGGAGGGGGCTTTGAAGCCAGCTTTCCATCACAATATACAAGGCCAGGTCCATGGCTAGAAGGCCCTGAGCTGTGTGTGTCCTGAGAGTCTGAGAGTGTCCAGGAGCTGAATCTTCATCCTCAGCCCTGTGTGGCCTTCTGCTCTCCTTCTCGGGTCCCGTCCATTCCTTCAGCTCCAAGGCCTGCTCTGCACGTCCATGGCTTCTGCCTCGCCAAATGGAGCAATCGTGCCCGTATGCACCAGAGGGGTAGGGAAGCTGGCAAGAGAGGAGAACAGTCAGGGCAGGGGTAGACACTGCGGTAAGGAGGATCTACTATGCGCTGGGTATTTTACACCAGAGTTTCCCAACATTTCCCACATCAGCGCAAATGTAGAGAATAATACTTGTGCAACACACTGTGGTCAGTGGAGGAGTCGGCTTTCTCCCAATCCCCTGAGGACTGAAGGATCAGTGTGGATCAGTTCTTAGCACAGTGGGTCTGCCTTACACCAGCCTCTCAACTAACCCTCACTACAACCTGGGAGGGAGTGAACAGGAAGACCTGAGGGGCATGTGGCACAGATGGGGTCCCCAGGCTCACTAGAGCCCTCTACCTGTTAAAGAGGAGAAAATACAGGGCAGGGAGGGTGAGGCAATGTGGAGGGTGGTAGTCGGGGGCACGGGGGATATAGGTTTCCACAGGAGAAATTAAGACTAGAGTGGTGTAAGGCTTTCCTCACTCCTGGGCCTTCTGGTTCCCATGGGAGGGAGTGGCATCTGGGGAAGAGGGCACAGGGCTGGGAGCCAGGGCTTCTAGGTCCTATTCCTGGTCCCTCCCCTGGGCCTTGACCACAAATCTGCCCCTCTCCACCTCCCATCCTAAAGAAAACAAAAATCCTTACAACTGGACCAATAAACAACATCATGATAAACAGAAAATATTGAAGTTGTCAACAATTTCATTTTACTTGGATCTACAATCAACACCCATGGAAGAAGCAGTCAAGAAATCAAACGACGTATTGCATTGGGCAAATCTGCTGCAAAAGACCTCTTTAAAGTGTTGAAAAGCAAAGATGTCACTTTGAGGACTAAGGTGTGCCTGATCCAAGACATGATATTTTCAATCACCACATATGCATGCAAAAGCTGGACAATGAATAAAAAAGACCGAAAAAGAATTAATGCCTTTGAATTATGGTGTTGGCAAAGAATACTGAATATACATGGACTGCCGGAAGAACGAACAAGTCTGTCTTAGAAGAAGTACAGCCAGAGTGCTCCTTAGAAGCAAGGATGGCGAGACTTGGTCTTACATAGTTTGGACATGTTATCAGGAGAGACCAGTCCCTGGAGGACATCATGCTTGGTAAAGTACAGGGTCAGTGAAAAACAGGAAGACCCCCAACGAGATGGACTGACACAGTGGCTACAACAATGGGCTCAGACATAGCAACAATTGTGCGGATGGTGCAGGACTGGGCAGTGTTTCGTTCTGTTGTACACAGGGTCGCTATCAGTCGGAACCGACTCAACAGCACCTAATAACAATGACACTTCCTGCCCTATTGCTCAAGGAGGGTTAAGACATCACAAATAACAAATCATGATCCCATCCTACACCTTTCCACCCACCAAATGGACCCAGTACCTCATCTGCTCCTCTGGTCTCTCCTCCCCTAACCCACAGGGACTTTGGGGGGCACTCAGGGGCAGGGGGACATGCCTACCCCCACTTTGCATGGGTTGTCACTGAGGCCTCTCGCCTGTCCCGTCCACCCTCCCGTCTCCCAACAGCTCAGCCCTAGGACCCTAAACCCATGGACAAGAATGGGCAGCTACAGCCCCCAGGCCCGGCCCAGCCAAACCCTCCCACTGAGGCCCCACCTTGGGAGCTGGGACTCCTGGGTTCACTTCCCAACCCCTGATGACACCTTTGCTAACTGCAGAATACCGTCTTTCTGCCTCAATTCCATCCTCAAATTCTCCTATGACAAGTGTCTGTCCTTAACAGGAGACAGTAAATTCGCCCTCACACCATCCATCCCCACCCATGGTTCTCCCAGCTCCCAGATGGCCAAGGCCCAGGAGCCCTACCCTAGGTGGGGGTAGAGGCCCAGCAGCCAGTGGCAATGTGCAGCCAGCCTCCCTCCACCTGAGTGAGGGCAGGGCCAATCTATGGAAGACCCATCCCATTCTGCAGTCTCCGCTCCCAGGGATCTGGGCTCCCTCTCAGGCACGTGGGTCACATTCAGGCCCCTCCTGAGACCTCAGCAGCCCGTTGACCAGGGGAAAGTAGCCAGTCCAGCTCCATGCGCTCGGCCCCCAGGCCAAGCCAGGCACTTAAGGTTTCCCATGCTCAGACTCCCGGGTTCCTACTCTCTGTTGGGCCCAGGAACCTCCCTCAGACGGTAGGGTTTTCAGGTGGGGGTGCCGGTGGGAGTCCTGATTCTCCCTGTCGGGTAAAGAGAAGGGAGGGAAAGAGAGAAAGAGGGCTCAACCCTCAGGGGCTTACCTGGCATGACCTCTGGATACCGCGGTGGTTGGGGGGCATAAGTGTAAGATGGGATGCCTGGCGGTTAGGACACAAGGGTCCCAGTCCCTAGGCTCTGCCGGGCCCGCACTGTCTGGATGGCCTGCTGGTTCTTGAACTTGACCAGGCCCAGGGTGATCTGGGCGTTCCAGCCGGGGTCCTCGAGGGGGCAGCGGAAGTCGATCTCTCCGCCGCCCTCGGTCACCAGCGTGAAGTAGATGTGGCGCCCAGTGCTCTCCACGCACTCCACGGCCTTGATGCGGGCGAAGCTGAGCTCCTTGGGCCGGCCGCCGGTGCCCTTGGCCTCGAAGAGCTGCAGCCCACGCTCGGTGAGCACGCAGCGCTTCCGCTTCCACAGCTGCAGCAGCCCGCCGCTGCGCTTCTCCAGCACGCCCTCCTTGAGCACCGTCGCCGCCGCCGTCATGGGGGCCCCGAGGTCCCGGGAAAGCTGTAGGCTGCGGCGGGCGCGGCGCCCCTCCCGGCTGTCAGCGCCGGATTCTGGCGCCCCGGGCTGGCCAGCTGGCTGTGCGCCCTGCCCACTTGGCGCCCCAACTGCCCGCTCTGCCCGCACCGCGGTCCTCCGGCCACCGCTGCCTCCCCCGGGGCCGGCTGGAGCCCCTCGCCCCTCGGCACCCGCCGTCCGCTTCAGCCCACACTGGCTCCTGCGCGCCGCTCAAGCTGTCCTCCCCGCCTCTGCCCCCCGGTGCCCCCGCGACTCCCCGGCCCGTGAGCTGGGCTGCCCACTCGCGCCGCGCTGCCTCGCTCGCTTGCTCCCTCGGCTCGGTCTGCGCGCAGGGCTGCAGCTCGCGGGATGTGCCCTTACATGTTCCGCAGCTCGCCTCCGGCGCCGCCCGCCCGCCAGCCGCGCATTCCTGCCCCGGCGGGCCCTCCCGAGGGCGGGGCCGCTGCGGAGGCTCCGTCACACACTGGAGGCGCTGGGCGCCGGGCGGGGAGGGCGGGTACGGAGAGGGGGGCTGCTTACCCCACAGCCCTAGCTTTCTGGCCTTCCGTCTGCCGCTTCTCGGAACCACAGCTCCCCCAGGCCTTGGACAAGGGGGACCGACCGGAGGGGAGGGAAGATCTCCTAGATGAGAGGGCTCTCTGCTAGTGAGGGAGGTGGGCTTGTGTCAGCGGGCGCAGTGGCACCGGCTGAGGCTTGCTTGGTGAGTATCAGACAGCTGCTGGAGGCGTTCCAGGCCGCGGGCCTCCTGGCCCGTAGCTTCTGCCCCTTTTCCGAGTTTGCCAGCTCCCCCTTGTCATTGTGCAATCAGAAAACGAAGAAGCTCGGGAGACTGGGGGAGGGGAGGGGTCACCAAGCCTGTGCTGGCTTCCTCCCCTTTGGCAGATTTCTCTGTGCAGGGCCCGAGACTGTCCATAGCTGTCTATGCCTGGATGCTCCAGCCTTTGACGACCCCGGCCACCCTCCCCTTGCCCCTCCAAACACACACATACACACAGACCCCGCATGGGAGACGTGTAGAGAGTAGCGGATCCCAACTGCGGAGTGAAGAGCCTTGGGGAGGAGCGAGCCCCCTGGGGATGTCACTGCCTATTGCCCTCTTTCACACACCTGGAGGGGCGGCTCAGCCCTCGTGGCCGAGGTGCCTGGCGCAGTCAGCCCCAGGCCTGAGCACAGCTTCCGCCTGTTGCTTCCCCAAGGCAGACTGTAGCTTTTTTTTCCCTCCCCTTGCCTCCTCCAGCTTTCTCCCGGGGAAGGCAATGGACCTTTTTCCTGGATACTGAGCTGAAGGGGGATGGGGAGAGGGAAGGTTTCTCTCTCCTTTCTACCTAAAGACTACTGAGTAAAGACAGGAGCAACGCAGACTTGGGTTCAAACCGCAGCTCTTCACTCTTGATTGCTGTGTCCCGGCCACCTTGGGCAATGTAATTAACCTCTCTCAATTTCCTCATCTGTCAAATGGGTCAATTTGTATTCTTATCTCATGGGTTCGTGGTGATGAATAAGTTAGATAACATTTGTGAAAGCACCCAGAACAGAGCCTGGTGACTCTCAGAGACTCAATAAATGTTATTCCTCACCCCTCCCCCTTTCATTTCCATTGGAGGAGGATGGGGAGCTGGAGAGCAGGACAGGGACTGGGACATGGCTCTCCTAGGTCCTAGTACTGCCCCATCTTGGTCTGCTCTTCCAGACCCACAGTTTCTTGAGTACCTATTCATCAACATGTTAATAACAGATTATCATGGGACTAATGATACATAGTAATGACAGTAAAAAACCTCTTTGTACCCACACCCTCTGTTTCCATCCTCCTGACAGGTGATGCAGAACCTAATGGGCACAGGGGAGTTCCGGTTGCAGGGGGTGTTTGAAAACGGGGGAGTAGGGATGCTCTCCCCTGCAACACCAAAGTCAGGGAGTGGGAGAAGGGAGCTGTCAGTTTTCAGTTCAGACCCGCAGGAGCGCTCCCAGAGCACCCCTCCAGGAGAGGGAGTGGGCAGTGCCATGGGAGAACAGAGGCAGTCAAAACAGATGTCTCTGGCTTAGAGGGTGGCAGTGGAAAGAGCTCATGGTGGCCACAGCCTGGCCCAGGGCCTCCCAAAGGCTCAGCTTATCTGCCAGCCAAGCCTTCCCATGACTCCTCCTCCTCTCCCACATAGGGTCTCCTGAGTGTACCAACCCAGCACAGTCCTGCCATGATCCAAAGTTCTCTCCTTGAGGCAGTGGGGAAGGAACCATTAGCCTGGGTTCTAGACCAAGCTTGGCACCTATCTCTGGTTTAGCCCTGTCACTCCCTGGGGCTGGGAGGCATTCATGCTCTCTCTAGTTCCCAGTTAACTCACAATTCTACAGGCTTTTAAAGTTTACAGAGCACTTTCGCGTGTTTTTGATTCTCATAGTGAATAGTTATTATTATTGTGCTTTTACTAATGAGAAAAATAAGACTCGGAGAGGTTAAGCAACCTAGATGAGGTCACACAGCTTTGTAAATATGAAAGCTGACATGAGAATGTACGTTGGCTAAGAGGACCTAGGATCTTTTTTTTTTTTTTTTTTAATAATACTTTACTGTGTTTTGGGTGAACGTTTACACAGCAAGTTAGGTTCTCATTTGACAATTTCCACACAAATGGATCAATGACATTAGTTACATTTTTTCACAAAGTGTCAACATTCCCTTTAATTGTGTTCTGGTTGTTCCATTTCCAGTACTCTGGTTTCCCTGCCCCCGCATCTTTTCGTCTTTGCTTTCGATTAAAAGTTCGCCTTTTGGACTCATACGGATGGTTTTTTTAGTAGAGCACCGATCTAATGGGTAATATCCTTTATTTTGTATGTCATTCTGTTTTTCTGCTAACAGGTGATCTCGGGATAGTTTTGTTCAAGGTTTAAAGAGTGTCTCAGGGCAATAGTCTTAGCGAGTCCTATGGTATCAGACGGTCCAGTTAGTCTGGCTTTATTTAAGAATTTGAGTTTTGTTCTGCATTTTTCTCCCATTCTATCCGGAATCATCTATCGTGACCTAGTCAGAACGGTCAGCGGTGGTAGCCGGGCACCATCTAGTTCTCTGGTGTCAGGGTAGTTGAGGTTGTGGCTCCTGTAGGCTGTCAGCCTTGTAGATTTGTTTCTTCTTTGAGATTTTGGTTACCTTCTTACTCTTTGCTCCTGATGAGTAGAGATCAATAGTTGTATCTTAGCTGGCCACTCACAAGCTTTGAAGACCTCAGACGCTACTCACCTCACTAGGATGTAGAACATGAACTTTGTGAACTATATCATGCCAGTTGACTAAGTTGTCCCATGAGGACCTAGGATCTTTTGATGACACCACACTGCCTCTCCATATGCATCTGGGTACATACAGTTCCCTTTAGACATAACCCAGCTACCCACACTTTCCTCTTCAGCCTACTAGGTGGAGGAGTGCCAGGATTTTGGACACAAAAGAAGGGGCAACAAAGATAAGAACATTGAATAGCAAGAATGAATGGGCAGTATCAAGAATAGGCAAGTGTACAGAGACCAGAGTTTATTAGTAGTTACCAGGGGGAGGCAGGAGGGAGGGAGGGGGAAAGGAGGACTCAATGCTTAGGGGACACTGAGCTTTTGCTAAGGGTGGTGGAAAAATTGGGAAACAGATAAGGGAGATGGTTGAACAACATGATGAACATAATTAATGTCACTGAACTGTACATGTGAAGATTGTTGAAATGGCAAATGTTTTGATATATATATATATATATATGTATATATATAGTGGTTGTTAGCTGCTGTCGAGTGGATGTCAATTCATGGCAACCCCGTATGTTACAGAGTAGAACTGTTCCATAGGGTTTTCTTGGCTATAATCTTTACAGAAGCAGATCATCACCAGGCTTCTTCTTCGGTACCGCTGGTTTGGTTTGAATCACCAAGCTTTAGGTTAGCAGTCGATTTACCAGAATAAGAATAGTTAAAACAACAACAGAAAGAGTGAGTGGAAGAGAGGGGCTGTGGAGGAAATTCAGCAGCGCACACTCTATTGCTGGATCTTCACCAACTAGACACCCTGTGAAGATTCTTGGAACTTAGGTGACCTGTCCCCCACTTTCAAGACCTCCTTCATCTAGGGGAGATGACTCATTCTAAATCTTTCCCCGAACTGGCCTCTTGCCTGGTAGCCTTATCTGGGAGCAGCTCAGGCCCAAGTTGGATTATTTGGACCTTCAGAAAGATCAAGAAGCATTTGAGAGTTGAGGGAGCAGGGTCCAGAGGGGGCTAGTGTTTGTGCCCCCTCCCTGCCAGGGCTCCCCTGGGAATGTGGCTCTCAGTTAGCCTTCCTGTGGCAGTGCTGGGCCCCAGAGCCACCACTCAATTCTTATTGACTTGTTGACTCTATATCAGATAGATGGACAGAATGTCCCCCAGTTGCAGCCCAGAGCTGGCTCCTCCCTCTGCCCACCCCAAAGGGAAAGCTGATCTCCGCTGTCAGTCCATCTGCTTTGCCAGTCCACCTGGAACAGTCTGGGCTACAAAATGGCCCCAGGGAATGGTCTGCTGAAAATGCCCTAGTTGGGCCTGAGCCACCAGAAGCCGGAGGAAGGAACCCTGGCTCCATTCTGGGTGGCTGCCCAGGAGCGAGGAAAAGAAAGATGGCAACAAGGTGGGGGGAAGCAAGAATGGCAACCAGAAAAACACAAAAAAGTAACATAGCTTCTATTTTCTACAATATTTGCTTGATCCTATTATAAATTCTGTTTACTGTTGTTAGTTGATATCGAGTTGATTCCGACTCATGGCAACTTCATGTGTGCAGAGGGGAACTGCTCCGTAAGGTTTTCAAGGAACAGATCGCCAGGCCTGTCTCCTGAGGCGCCTCTGGGTAGGTTCAAATCACCAATCTTTCAGTCAGTAGTCAAGCGTTTAACCATTTGTGCCACACAGGGACTACTTAAATTCTGTTTTGTGGTTATTAACTTTTAGACTCAGT